AATAGATAATGAAGTGGTGGCGGCAACGGCAGGTGGCATTATATTGTGAGTTCTGTTATGGAGTGCATTATACTGGCTACTGCTTGTATACATGCACTAACCCAGGAAGGCTCAAGCTCCTGCGGTTTCAACAATATTTGCGATGTCGAAGATTAACATTTGACAATGCTAATGAAGACTACATGCCTGTGGGCTAGTGTGTCCCTTTAGACACGCTTGTGGGAGTTGGTCCTTCCATGTTGAACGAGGAGGTACTTGCAAAATACTACACTGATCTTGCCAAGTTAGATGAAAATAAAATGTGTGTGGGAGATGGCATATTTTGGATCAATTTAAAAGGTGGGAGTATAATCCACTCGAGAAGTTTGAAAGAAAAGAGTTTTCATTGCCCGTGGATGTAGATTGTGAACTAGGCATCCAACCCGAGGATATATCAATTATGGAAGACAAGAACGAAGACGATAAAAGTTTAATTACAAATGAACAAAATGAAGGGGAGGTAATTAATGAAGAAGACGTTAACTCACACTCTGTCAACTTCATTGATTGCTTTATCATTGAATTTGTAATTAAACTTGAAGAGGAGGAAGAAGTCTACATAGTTGAACTTAAATCGGATAAGATAGGCAAGTCATATAACATTGGAAGGGGCAGTGCTAAAATTTGTAGAAGCAACGAAGAGTGGAGCAACATTAAAAGGGGCAAACTAAGCCAGGCATCAAAAGCGTTCTTAAAATTCCATGATGTCGAAACAATAAAGTCAAGCTAAAGACTATAAATAAGCACTTGTTGGGAGGCAACCCAATCTTTCTATCCCTTTTATTTATTTTTCTTTCTACTTATAGGATAATTTAGTTTATTTTTAAAGTTTTAATTAGGGAATTATCATTCATATCCCATTTTTTCTTAGGTTACTTGTTGGTTTATTGATGTTTNTTGAGAGAATCTGTAAAGAAACTCTAATGTGAGTTTCTATCGTAGGAAGATTGTGTTGTTTCTGTGATTTTGGAACTGTACGTCTGTAACTTGAACTTTTCTTATTTAGGTCAATTTTTAGTGGATTCGAGCTTTGATAAGTGTAGTTTCTACATTTATTTGGGATCCTAAATAATAATATTTTGTTATTCTTTGAACGGATTAGTACTTAATTTGTTATTTATTGCTTTTATTAGAAAAAATTCATGTTTCAAAGAAGAATTGAAAAAAATTACGAAAAATGGCTAAAAGAAGCAAATTCAAAGTATGGGGACCAAAGTATAAATATCTAATGGTTGATTTGGACCACAAAAGATATATTAAAGATTGATAAGAGTCAATTGAATGCAAATTGAAGTAAAAAAGGAAGGGATATGATCAGAGTATTACCATAAATTAACTTCCAATCATATAAGATATTTTCAAAATTTTTGGTCAACTTAAGACTCATTTTTCAGATGGAGAATGTTTGAATTGGAAAAATTGTATTTCTAGAAGAATTGCAGCTCTTTTAACTAGCTTTCTAATGCACTTTGAATCACC